TCTATCAATAGCATTGCCATGACTAACGTCAAAGAATTGGCGAAGACGTTTCCGAAAATGCATCTTTCCATTGTATTCACTGATGGGCCTCGCTAACTAAGCCGAGCAAGTGCCCATACTCCCTAAACGATCACTGTGTACAGTACTGCACGGATGTGAGGATTGTTGATATTTAAGTACCCCCTCATATGTTTCCATGACAACTTATTATGGACTCAGTTACCAAAAACATTTATCAAATTACAGAGGGGATCAAACGTTTTTAATTTTTTGTACATCCTTATTGCATATGTAAGCCGAGATTTCAAAAGAGTAGCTCTATTAAAATGACTTTTCAAGTGAGTTGAAAACCCTCTTAGTCTATATTGGATCATAAAATCTGTTAACAGCTCAATTTGGGTATGAGGCAAGCATAGGCTGCCATTTAATATACTTTCTCATCCTGCTTTCTCATTATCAATTCAAGGATCAAAATAATTCTCTAATGTGGTTTACTCTGAATTTTCTCAAATCTTAACTTTGAATCAAATTATTTTATAATTGCCACTTGTAAAGTCACCCTAGGATATGTTTGTAATTCAATTGAATAAACAAATGGTCATGAATACATTTTGTAATTGAATTGAAAAGAAGAAAATGAACCCCTGAATACATACGACCATAATAATCATTATTATGTTTTAATGGCGTTTCTCAATATATTTAATTGTTTCTAAACCTTATGAAGAGCTGTATGCTACACTCTCCCCCTCTTAAAAATTCGTCCTGTACTTTCAATAAGATAATCTGTGTTTGAACTTTACAAGAGCAATTTTCTTTCAAGTATTCAATGAAATAAAAATCTAAGGGTGGTCGAGGTCTGATCTTTAAATTGCCCTTTCAAATGGTAGAAACATGCTATCAGAAATCTACATCTAGCAAGGCGAGTCTCTCAAGGCTGAAGATTAATAGTTAAACTGACATTAAAGAGACTGAGATTCATCTTTCTACTGATAGTAATAGTAGATAAGAAGACCAAGTAATTGGGACCAATAAAAAGTACAGCCCAGCTATTTACTGCTTCAGTAAATACCATGCTTTTATTGTGAAGATAAATTGATAATAAATGCGTTAAAGGGATGTATGCAAAATTATATAACATAGGCGTGTATTCGTAACTAATGTTATCATTTAGAGAGTCTTTATGAATACTCATTAAATTAATTAATATTGCTAAAATTGGAATTGATAGTAAATGTTATTTTATGAATTAAAATGTGAGTCGGAAAGGTTTCAAGGGTTTTTGTAATTTCTTTGTATGGCAGTCCCATTGGAATTCAGATGTCCAACGCTATGGAGATGAGAGACCAATTTGCCTTCGTTGTCTCATCCCATTTGAGAGGTGAACTAAACCGGGACTCTAACAGTAATTAAAGTTTTAGTGCGTAAGTAAAAGTGACAAGATTTCTCTTCCGAAGGAGCTCTTATTATCCTCCAAAATAGGTTAACAATATCATCTTTCAGCGATTATTAAAACAAATGGAGGATTCCTGCAATGAGTTATAAGCGCTGTGTTATGAGATACATTGCATTTTAATCACAGTCAAAGGACACCGAAGCTCAATCATGGCTGAAATTATGCCACAAACGGCGGCACCAATGATGACTTAATGGCGAATATCACACCTTTAAAGAGATCGTATCACATATGATATTAATTTTATATGGCCATCAGTTTAATATTTCACTCAATGCAACACCTCTCCTCCTATTAAAAAAGTATTTGTCCACGCATTAGTTTTTTCATTTCTCGCCCATCATCCTTTCTCCTATCCCTAAAAACTCAATGGATTTTTGTTACGTTATTCGTCCGCTCACTCTGTTTCATTGGTAGTTTATGTTCTTATAGCACTACCGATTAAAGTTTACTTGGTATTGGGTTTCGATAAAACAAGTCACTAACAAGCTACCTGTTTCTAAGATACATCACGGTGTCTCTTTGCTACTCGCCGTGCTAGCTTCACCATACGAACAGAATGACATGGACCTCTAGGAACTCTACTAATGTTTGGTTTTTATTGAACGTCGATACATTGAGAGCGAAGAACATAGTCTAGAAAAGCTCAAATCTCACGTCTATCCATCCCCTAGAACAACATAGGGCAATAGTTTAAACATCTCTACTCGTTTAACTAGACGGCCCATCCAATTAAAGTAGTTCCACTAGCAGGGACTACGTGACAAACAGCCCGGGGATGTAATCACTTATATAATTACAACAAATATAGATGTTTTTATTCAATCTTTAACCTGATGCCTGGAAGTTATTGCGTTGTCTTGAGCTTTCATTTTAGTGCTCTGAGGTACACGAGCTGACATTTGACGAGGGATTCCAAGTATGTAAGACATTGATTGAGCTTGACAGTGGAGTAGGCTATCAACATTGCGAAACTTCAGTGTCCAACAGTCCAACTATATCTCCAATTGATATGATCATTAAATAAACGTATTCGTGCAACAACTATTTTCGACGTAATAGTTAAAGGGATAGCAACGAAAAGAGAATGTGAAATGTTGCAATCAACCCGACATTTTTAAAAGTATGCCGATGTTCCACTTACGAGCTAATCGAGATATATGAGAAGATGTTATTGGGAATATAAAATGCAAAATGTTTAAAATCTAAAAAGGAAAAAATATTTTTCGAAAATTGGCATTACATGTAATGTTGTGAGCAAGCATAGCCGTAAAATTGTGATAAAAACTTTTTGAGAAAGTATACTTTTATCAGGCTCAGTCAACTGTCTCAGGTTTTTGTTGCCACTTAAATGTAATATAGCCATCCTTCTTCAAAGGACTTCATTTATGCCTAAATTCATATGCCTAAATTATATACTTGTAAAATACCTTTGCACCAAGGATGTAATATAGCCCTTCCCTTAGTTTGACACTTTATACGGTACATCATCTTCACAATGTATTGAATTTATACACCATGGTAAAAGAGGATTGTGGAATTCAATTTTTCACCGATGACTGGTCAATCTATTTCTGCTTTACGTTGCCGTTGCATCAACATACTGGTTATAAGATTTGAGATGCTAGCATTAAAAATTCAAAAAATCATAATATAGGAGACCAGTTATTGACATTATCATTGAAAGATCATTAGGGTGGATTACATGGCTGATCTGACATGCCATAGTGCTGTTGTAAACCTATATCAGTAATTAACCCCGCCTTTTCATTGTTTGTAGAATGTATAAGGATAAAATTAACCTGGCTGTTATTGTGTTTTCTCAAAGTCTCTGCTATTAAGTGGTTTATTTGAAAAGGTGTTGCTTTTGATAGGCTCCATATTTGTTTAGAGTTATCAGGCAAGCGGCTCATCAAGTAGATTGAACAATTCAGGAATGTACTTCGCTGCCTCGATGACTTAATTAACAGCCAGAGTGATGTCAGAATGTAATTAATTATGGTCATGGTATTGTTTCGCCTTTCCCATCGACCAAATGACACCATATCTGCCCCCTTAATCATAATTCTAGTAAATAAGAAAGCACAACGGGCAATTTCTGATTAATCAGCGGAACCAATAATTAGCCAGTCTCTCTTTTTGTTCACCAAATGAAACCAACTTTGCATTTTCTCTCTGTTGTACATTGGGTCATGATTGGTTGGAAGGATAGGGGTTACTTTCATTATGATTGGTTGTACTATGGAGGATAAAAGTTCATAGGTGGCTGTACCTATTTACTTTTCAATCTTTTGATCAAGTTTTTTAAAACTCTTTACCATCCAGGGAGTATTGATATTTTTAAATACCTTAGCACATAAATCGCAAAACTCCTCAATACGTCAGATGGCGTCCAGGGGATGGCGTTTCATTTTAAAAGATCAAGTAGCAGGACTACCAATGTGAAATAAAGAAAGTGATACGCACAATAGCATTCAAGGTAAATCAAACTAATATGAGATTTCTAATATTGCGTCTCTCCAATGCGATAATAAATGCCCAAAATCTTGATTGGTAATAACTCTGGACTAGACTCATAGTTAACCCATATCATATTGTCTGGTCTAACATGACCCTGGGACCATTTAATTTGATACTATCTTACAAAAAATGGATAAAACTGATAGACAATCCTATGCAATAGTTAAGGTGGATAAAAAATCTTATTCTATTTAACCATTCTTTGGTTTCCCTTGCTCCCTATAATTCAACCGATATCAGTGTTTTTAGTATCTCTTAGGGCTTTGGTGGGCACAAATGGTTTTAGATAAAATCGAAGAACCGAGATTTCAATTTGCTTCGTCTATCTATATTGACTCCTTTAAACGTGATTTCTTGTTTTAATGTGAATCAACTCAGACTTTTGCTTTGAACATATTCGTAACTACTGGTCGAACAAACAACTTCTTGTGGGACATACGATCGATTTGATTTAAATAGGTGCTTTTACAATATCAGTAAGTAGCTTTTTATTTTTGAAAGTGTCTGAACATGTAATAGAATCATTTGGAATCAATTCCAACGGAACAGCTCATTTAATTATATCTCAGCTGTATCTCTCTCTAGGACCAAGAAAACAAGTTTTTGACCGTAGATGTGACTGCTTTTAAAATTTGTTTGTTTTAAATAACTTACTATAAATGTGGAATTAATAAGTATTCAATAAAAAAGATCATATGCGATTGCGATATCCTTTATCTCTATTCTTGGCGACCTTGACAAATATGTTCAGAAAACTAGATGATCTATAGATTTTTTTGCTTTTTAACGTAAGGATGACAGCCAGCCGAGTGTGTTTAAAATTTCTTGTTTCAAATATTAACATTTTACATTAAAGAGTTTTAAACAATTTGATTTAATCTGGTTTATCATGTTTTAATAGTAAGTATTACAACAAATAAATCTTGAAACATCAGCATCTAGCAAATGTTCCCTATAATAACATTCTATTATTGATATTTATACCCGATTATAAAGGATTGTAACAGCGCATGCGCAGCGAAGGCTCAACTCTCATGAAATCTGCCACAGAATGCTTCTGTCTTTGCGATCACTATATATCTCGGTTTCTCCCTAACCACACGTCATCACAAATCCGCAATGGAGCGCGGGGACTGAACTAACCACTAATCGAGGATTTAAAGAAGTGATCGTCTTAGAATGATGGAGCCACCTAGACCTTCCATGGGGCACTCTCCCGCTGGGTACGGCCCGAACGTCAGACCCCCTTCATTCCAGATGCCATCACCTTTCCACTCCATTCTTCAAAGGTAAGCGCGATACAATACAACAAACTGTGTCTGAAGATATTAAAAATTAATTGGACATGGATATTTAAGAAAATGCTAAATGAAAAATACGATGGAATATTTCGAATTTAAAAGTCAGATAAAAGGATAACCTTTTGAAAGTAAACAAAACTGGTGACAGCCATACTATACTGAAATAATTTAGAAAGAACTCACAAAAAACTAATACATTTAACCAAAGTTAAGTCCACTCGAGAATTTGACACACGTTCAGTTATTTCACTGCGAATGTGTTTTGAAAAATCAAGAGTCTTCAAAACTTCTTTCGATGTCTGAAGTGTGACGACTTCAATATAACAATACACAATTGTGAATTTATTGTAAATATTATTTCAGATAAATTTACCTGTCACCCAAAAGTCAAATAAAATCAAAAGCAGTCAGTTGGCACATACTTCAAATTCTCAAATTTTTGAAATACAAAACATTAAAATGCAAATAAAATCATTACTTACTCAAAATAATAACATTATACAATACAGCTCTACGGATCGCAAAACATTGTATTTAAGCATATATTTGGAGAATATCTGTCATATCAACAAAATAGAAAATAAGAACAACACACGACAATTTATTTTTGATGATTATAACAGCCTATTACACTTCAGAATGAGAATAGGGTGAGTGCTCTAAATAAATATCAACATATAACACAAACTATAATTTTAATTTACATAACAAAATTAGTATTTGTGGTCAGGTATAAAGTGTTTAATAATATTAATTATATTTAATAATACTAATTATTCTTATTATGTAAGCACAAAGACCAAATGGAGAAATAAGATTTTTTGAGGGAACAGTAGGGAGAATTACCAAAAAGCAGATTCAGTTATAAGATACACATCCAAATATTCCGGGCACCTAATCGAACATGAAAAGAAAGAGTGTCAAATGACCTTCTTTCAGCACCGTCACACAAACATAAGCAGAATGTAAAACTACTACAAGACCATGGGACATTGCAATCTCTGAAGACATTTGCTTCTTGAAGATCAAATGACGTGGCCGATGCAAAGCCATCATAATTAAGATATATACAATAATATACATGCATGTATCTCTATTTATATAAGATTTACATCCGATCATAAACACGTGTTGTACAGATCTACGATTTAAATATGTGCATTTATACATTTGTTATTTTTTCAATATCTAATTCGATTATTTAATATGAAGGGGTTTTAGTTGATCATACCGCTTTGAAATATTTTTCTAGCATCAGCTTAGAGTGTAACGCATGGCGATCATAGAGCTTTGTATAATTTAAAAACAGATAATAAACACGACTATCTAAAGTTTAATAACTTTACATTAACGTTAATCAGAATAATTCTGCACAGACGCTACATAGTTGCCTAATGAAAATGTTAAATGAATGTGCCAATCTTTACTCAAAAATAGTGTTTTTAATAACTATTTATGATATATTTCGATTGCAATGCTAGTGAGATGATAATGTCAGTAATTAAAAATTACTGGTCAATGTTGTTAATTACGTGAGGAAGCACCATTCAAAGGACGTAGATTTCTCTGATTATAGATCATGATTAACGTCCCCGAGGATTTAGAACTGACAATAAAATGACCGAGTTCAATAATTTAGCAAACACCTATGGATTAAATCTGTTAATATATTGTCTTGTTCTTTGACATATCTTAAATTTAAAATTTATTTTGTATCGAAACTATTATGTCAGAATAAGACATTGTTATTTTTCGCAGTGCTTTATAATATTTTAAAATCAAATTCGACAATATATAATAACCATTGTGGATAATAAAGAAAAATAAATTGTATCCTATATAATAGTCTCATTATATTAATGTTTTAATTAAAAGCAGTCAAATTATTCTAATATTTTTTCAAATTTAAGTTTTTTAATTTGAATATTTTTTGTTTAGCAACAAAAATACTAGGAAGGTCTAGATTACATTATTAGCTTTCCTCGAATATTCTAATTAATGACATTTTATATTTTAAGCTTGCCGTTTGGTGGAAGTGGAAGACCAAGGGTAAATCAAATCCAGTCAAGAATCTTGCCAATGCGCCCCCCTGTGCCACCCCCACCTCTCCTTCCCCTACCACCATTTTCCAAAATGAATGAACACGCCCTTCCCATGCATCCTGTCCATTTCCAAGGCATAATGTTTACCCAAGAAGAAGTGGACATGGTTCTTTATGGATACGCAAGAAATAAAGTTACGGAACTATCAAATGGTCACGCTCTTACGGGTCTGCGAACTAACGACTTGACACATGGTATGTACATGTACAACAACAATTTTATTTATTCGTGATTTATATATCTGTTCATGACAATTTATCAAAATAATGAATATTTAATTACTTCAATTATACTTACAACATTATAGTATAATTGTTAATTGTATATACTAGAGTAGTATGTTTACTACAGCATCGTTTTAAAATAAAATTACGTAAATTTATTAGTATGCAAGGTAATGAAAAATCATTTTTTTTCAAATTTTGTTTTCAATAAAAGAAAATATCTTGTAACTCAACGGTATCATCCTCGTGATTAATTGACTTTTAATGGTTACTGAAATATTTTCAATTGTTACATATCCTTGGGGAAGAATGTGATACTTTATCAATTCCTGCTTTTCTGTACTTAAATTGAACACGAGTTATTTTTATTAATCAGTTCCCATCGTTTAAAAATCTTTTAATAACAAAGTTGGTGATTTGTGTAAGGGAACCCTAATTTGTAACAATAAACCTGAATATTAACATTTAATAAAACACACAAAAGTCATCGAGAAATAATCAAGGTTTGATTCTATGATACCCCAAGGGGCTTAATAAAGATGGTTATTTTATATTCAGCGTCTAGTATTCATTTATCTGCATACTTATCTAGTTATTCTAAAATGATGTTTTACATATCGGTCGTAAACCAATTCGGTTGTTTTTTTGTGGATAGAGAGGACGTGAAACAAAAATAGTCTATATCTTATATCATATCGTATAAAAATCATATCATATAAAACGTTTAAAAATAAAATTCAAACAACTTTAAAACGAGATATATAAAATATAGGGATCTATCGTTACTTTATCCATATATGTATAATTAAAATCGTTGGGATATCGTTGGGATTGAATTATAAAAAAAAATCATTTTGAAATCTTACCATTTTCGGGAATATAAAATACATACACTCAAACATACATGCTTTGAGGCAATGGTTCAAATGTGCAATATTTATATCAAAAGGATACAAAAAACGGATATTTGCAATTGTTTCATATATATTGGCTTAGATAACAGGCCAAGTACTTTGAGACTGTCTGTACATGTTTTATTCATAGCTAGAGATGTTAGCCGTCAATCACAGTGCTCTATCGAAGTAAACTTTAAATATTTCATGTGCAGCAACCTCACGTTTGTCTTCCCATTAACCCTAAATTAGAACTTTACAGTAACCTGTCACCACTTTAATATTGTAAACTAATCATACGTAAATTATGCATAGAAAATCTTATACATTTCACCAGGGTAGTTAAATATGATGCATCTTTCTTAATTATGGGTAATATTGTAACATTTTATTCAAATATAGTACTATAAAACACATTATGTGAAATTTAAACCACAAGCAAACTCTAAAAAATGCGCAATATATATGAATATTGAAATCATGACACACATTTCTCAGTTAATAGTTAATAAGAAAAACTTTGATTTATAGTTATATCCATGAGTTCAAGTCAGATGCTGAGATATAGCGCATGATACAGACATGCGTGCATTTATATTTCATGAAGCAGCCCGATTGTGAAACATTATGACACGTATCCAAATGATCTATGGAACATAATATACAAAGGTCCATGTGCAGTATGGCAAGTGATTTTAGACAGTCATATCTTTCTTCAAGGGTACATTCTGTCCAACTTTATTAAAACAATATGCTTTCTTTCAAGTGAAGTCCCCATGATAGTAAAATATCAATCCAACTCTCTGGTAAATTATGGATTAGGACCCCACCTTGGCACTTTTTTAAAAAGGTTAGGGCCATTTTCTAAAAGAGGATCTTGTTTTTCTCAATTTAAACATATCAAAAATTTCTTCTACACTATATTAACATTTTCTGAAAAGGGGATGCGTATTGAAATGCGTTAAAGTTAAAAACCACATATCCCATGTTATTTTCCCATAGGGAAAACTCGTGCTATCCATTGTTTTCAGCATAATTTTGGTCATCGAAAATTGATATCTTCAAAACTAGACTTTCAATGCCGTTTTAGTCCCCTTGATGAATAATCTTTTAATTCAATAAAACCAGAAAAAGAAGATCCTCTTTTGAGTAAATAGGTTCAATATTTTGGAAAAATGTTGACATGGGGTCCATATTCATAATTTTTCGAATTGTTCGATTGATATGTTTTATCATCATGGGCACTTCACTCGAAAGAAAACATATTGTTTCAATACAAACCACTGTATTTATGCCCAGAAAGTATTCATGGTCAAAGATATGACTTTCTAAAATCACTTGCCATACTGCACATGGACCTTTACATATATATGAAATTCAAATGATCACCAGTAAAAATTAATGAATTAATGGTAATGTAAAAACGTAATATCGTTGTAGATTTTGAAAATGACATTTATTTACATGAGGCTCGTCTAATGTGATTTGATTGAGAAGGATTCGTGTACACTTGATTAATTAATTTAAGATAGACACCTTTCTCCCCAACTACATTAATATTTATCATTGGACTGATCATTCCACGTCAGGTAAAATATGTAATGAAACAATAGCACAGAATTGCTTTAAAATAATGAAGCTTCTGAAGCTTTTGTTTATTGTTAAAAAATTGTATTTACATTTTGTTCCATTTGCGTACTGACATAGCTTGGACTATTTCTAGGTTCAGTTCATAAAAATGTCTGTAAATACCAACGGTGCTTTATTTGAACCTGAGTTGCTTTTATGTTCATCGCCGGATCTTCATATCATCCCAATGTTGATGGATATATTGAAATGTCACACCATACAAACAGTAGTAATACAGAAATATCATCAGTTTCAAATGTACACTATCAACGATATTATACATTGATGTATATAAAAAGTAAATGACAATCATCATTTTTGAGAAACTGTTACAAATGTATTTGCCTCATTGAATTATTTCCCGTGAAACCTTTAAACATCTGGTCATCACACAGTTTTACAAAAGGAGAAGACTGGGCCCTTAATTAATTACAATTTACTTTTCATTATATCCCATGACAAAACTTAACATTTTACAAATAACAGTTAATATTTTATACTTTGCAGCACAAAATAACACCATAGAATTATAATTAAAGATAAAACGCGTCTCGTCACTTCAATTCTTTGATTATTATTTTTTACTTAATTATAAAAGTAATAAGCATTATGGAGGTTTATCAGATAGGTTTATAATATTGGCCATACAACTGCGGATGATCCTCGTAATAGTAAGAGACGCCTGACAAAATATCACTCTTCTTTCACAACTTCAAGCTGAAATTACAAAAAATAAATGATTTTCTTGAAGACAATTCTATTTCTGTGTATTATATGCATCCTCGTTTTATTTCAAGAACTTTCATTCGTTTTCACACTGTCTTGGATTTGAACATTGACCAACATGAGATTTTTTCAATGGGCAGGCTATAGACTCTGATTAATAGATTCATTCCTAGAGATTTTCTCAGGCAAATGTTGTGTTTAGTGTTGATTTGGTAGTGGAATTAAGACTCTATAGGTTTTCTAAGTCGATTAGGATGTCTCTTTCAGAGTTCCTTGATGGATGTTATCATTTTCCAAGACTAAATAAAGGTGATACATTTCCAGAGGCTTACAGTCTAGATTCTATTACTAGTTCACAGGTTTGCCAAGCAGGTTTAGAATAATTAGCCTCCTGAATTGGATTAAAACTATGGCAATAAAGTAAAAGATCTCATCTAAATTAGAGTCTTGTAATCTAGTGTTGATAACACTGCTTAACAATACAACACACTATGATATTTGCTTTATAACATTTGCTGTTAATTCAGTCCGTATGATAAAACCAACATGTTTTGATAAGAAACAGTAGCATTTTGATTTCTTTCAACTAATTTTTGAGCCTATGGTTCGAATCTACTTGAGCAATTGACTAAAACAACATTTATTGTAGAATTTGAGTCTTAGAAGTTAAGAGAAACCAACAATCCCAAAGAAGTATGTTGAACAACCCTTTATTAAAGCAAAGTTATGGAATTGTATAGAGAATACAATAACATATTACCCCGTCACATGTTTATTGATACATTTCTTCCCTATATTCCCTCCGGTGAAATTTAAATCGAGATTATCATCAATACAACCTTTACAAGTTCAGTAGACTTCAAACGATTGTTGTTTTCTAATACTCTGTTATGTTATTCTAAATACGAGTGTTATTCTTATTACTTATCTTGGCACTGGCCACTAACTTTACGCCAGGAAAGACTTATTGTACGTTACCGGTATATAAAATCCCAGGATAATCCTGACACTCTTAATTAAAATGTAATTCAAGTTGGAATGAGAAAAACTATTAATGATTAAGGTTAACATGAATAATTACTTTCAATGTTTTAGTTCAATAGCTAAAAAAAATCAATTGTTAGCTGATCGTTAAATGTATGTAAACAAGGTGATGTTATATTGGGGGTATTATTTGGAGGAATTATGTAGGGGTATAGGTTGCAGGCGGAAGTTGGTTACCTATTTGACATACATTCCTTTATGCGGCACTTTTATCTCAGTTTAATGCTTATACCCACCAAATACTTAAATTAATTAGAAATATATTGAATAAATAATCGATTATGTTCATTGATCTTGAATGGCTATACAAAGGGTTACAGAGTGAATTGTTTGATATATTATACATTGGTATGCAATGTATCTAACTTCAACATAAATTGGGTGAATAATCGTCCGTGTCTATAGTAGGTATCTTAGGTTTCACAGATATCTATTTATTTAGGAAAACTTTGTTAAAATTCCAATGATGAATGATTACGTTTGATGTATTTACGGATATCATTTTGAAATGTATTTGAAGTCTTGGCAACTTAACATTATGTTTCATCAAACTCAATGTTATAATCCAGATCAACCTTGGTGACTTTTCCTTTTTTAGTTGATTCTTTTCCTATATTAAGCTATTAATAAGCTCTATTTTTTGTTGTCACATTAACTTTACTAGAAATATTGTAAGCGTGCGTAGATGCAAAATATAATGTTAAGAAATCTTTACAAAATTGTTTAGCATATTAAGAATTGTAATACTTCGTGGGGTTTGACACCCGGGGTTTGACATTAAAAATTGATATGAAAACTATATCAAAAAGGCTCATTTGGGTCCGTGCAATTTAGCTTTTAAGAATATTTCAACAATGTTATACGATACATTATACGTATTGAAATTTATGATACACAATATAATCTGAGCTATTGAAGTAACTTTGTTAATGTTCAAATATAGTTGTATACCACAATGTACCGCTGAATAGACCAATTGCAACATCACCCGTCGGGTACAGTTACACTTCTCCAAACAAACCGGGGCACTAATTCAGCTTATACAGGAAAACTATGAACAATTTTTGAATGTCCGTTCTTATAAGGTTTACTCTCCAAACAGATCTTGTAGCAGAAACATGTATCTCTAAAAAGATGGAGCATGTTGCACTGGCCAACCGATCACCACTAAGTCAATTTACCCGATCTCTTGTTACAACCATAGTTAAGCATCAAAGTTGGGTGACTGTATATTCAGGTGCGCAACTATAGAATTTAAGCAGTTACATTAGTTTAAGTCTCATACTAATTTCTGTTTCATTCAGCGTTGAAATAATAAAACTACATAATAAACTACCATGGACTGATTAAAAATAACAGACTACTTCCGCAGATTGTATTCTATACCCACTGTAGTAGTTAAAGGTGTTATAAGCTTAGAGAGGAATGGTGCTAACATTGCGCTGCTGGTTGCTTTAATCCAAAACACAGGTGAACGATTCAACATTAACGCTAAGCTTGAAATAAAATGTCACATTGGCTATTGGGTTTTAATAATAGTTTAATTATTTATATGGGATTGACTGATTCGACAACTTGTTATCCGCACTAAGGACTTTGTATCATGTGTTCGCGTCGTCTTGGAATAATCGGTGTAGACCTTGGTAGATTCTTGTATTTCAATTAATTTTCACGATGTCACTCTTGCAATATTATTACAGAAATCGGAATTAAATGGATATTCAGGGGTAAAGCCACAATGTAAAATACTGTAGGCATAAATTATAGTTTAATATTTTATGTGTCATAGACACTTTAAAATCCATTAAAAATATTTTTAAAATCATTCCTTCAAGCAGGGGTGTTGGCTTTGGAGACATCAATTAAGTACATGTATGGGTAATATTCAATTTCCAAAATGAAATTACTAAATGCATAGTAAAACAATGATAATACATGTAGTTCATTGTTCCCTCCCATCTACTAAAATGATACATCATCCCCAAGATTGATGTTCCTAAGGTAGATAAGTGGAAAAAGAAACCCTAACCCTAATCGATCGGCGAGTTGTGGGCCCACTGGTCGGACAATGTCCGGACAATGTTTGGATGTATGGTTATTACTTGCGCTAAGCAAAATGTAAATTTTGAAAAATAATATTTGATATTCAAACTTATAAACGTTACATTGAATAGTATAGTACGATAAGATACTCAGGAAGCAATCCTAGAAATAGGGGAGGAGGAAGAAACTTGTCTTAGCGTTTCCCAGCCCTGTGAAAAATGACAAGGTTTAGAATGACCAGGTCTTTGTCAAGGCGATGATTCTTAAAATAAAATAATGTAATTGTTGCTATAATTGTCCTCCTATAGCTAATGACATCAATCATAACTATTTTTCAATATCATTCCGCCAAATTAGTATTCATAGGTTCCAGATTTTAAACAACTTTTCTTTCTGATTTCAAATTATCATTAATTTTATTTTATCTCTGTTTTCTTTTGAAATGCGTTTTTGTGCTTGATGTCCTATTTTGATACTGCCACTAAATTCCCTTTGGGAAACCCATCATCCGGATGCACAAAGGGCAAAAATGATTTCCAATATCATAATCTGAAAATCTCAGAAAATCAAATAAATGTCTTATTTTTTCTTATCACATTTATATCTGTAATAATGGAAATGTGAAACCCTCTCAATAGTAATTGATGGCTAATTAGGGATTTCTCCTTTGCACTTGACATGCGAACTCTGATTAACCGATTCCTAACCTTTTCCAATTCAATTCCCATTGGGCCCGATCCCAAAAGAGACATTGTGCATTATTTTAGCAGTAAGATTTAATTTAACTGCGTGATTACTGTTTTCCCACATTGCTCGTTTTGGACTCAATTATCCATATTACCCTACGCTTATCATACCAAAAGAGAAGTCCCTGATTTAATAAAGTTGTGATTTATTACCAAGCTATAATATCAGAAATGCATAGAGTAATTTCTATTTAACATCTATATTATTGTTTATAGCAGTACTTTGAATTGTTTTGTGTTGTTTAATGGTTGTCACGGTTGTAATAGATTATTTTGTGTTCTTATGTCATTCTCCTTGACATATGTTGATATATATTGCGGGGGAGGGTTTGTTTCATAATATTCTTCAAATGACTTGTCTATTGAACGGATGTACAGTTTCCTTACTCTTGATACTTGGTTCATCTGTCTTGTTTTTCTCTTGTAATCAATATTGATTTTATTTTTCAGATTTTTCGTTGCTTATGATTCGACTTTAATTTATAACTTTGCAAAAATAGTTTCAGATATTATAAGCAAATTTAAACCATGGAAACACATAGAGAAGATAAGCAATAATATATCACAGTTGTGCCTTCATGATACACCTCTTACACGCACTCCTGGACCTATTTCGTTTCGTGCTACCGTTCCACCATTTAGTATCTGCATACTGCAGATCGATGTGGTTTCATTGACATAATCATAATTTCATACATCTTCAGCTTTCTCTATTCTCGTGTAGAATAACAATATCTTATTCCTAAATAACGACATGAATTGCTTAATTACGCAAGAACCCATCCTTCTTTTGCCTGGGGTATGTTACGAAATTTTGAACCGCCATTTTGTTTTTGTAAACCATGTGATCAATATAATGTCTTTCCACGAAACAGCAATGATGCCTTTACATTGTATGACATATGCCAGTCATTAAACAATAAGATAGGGGTGCATCTTTACACAACACAGGACCTTAGTACGCTGGAAGCCAGTTCCCCCATCTTCATGAAGACAGTGAAATATAGCTATGCTAAAATATTAAGCGGACTAATGAAGTAAATTGGTCTAATCGAACCCAGCACATATATTGACATATAAAACTGCATAATTATGTAATGTTTATTACTATGTATTGTTTTAATTACTTATCATTGTTATAAGATAGTCATCTCGAATTATTTCGTGTTTTAGGTATAGATAGAATCCTGTCTGGAAACCAGAGTATGACCTATAAACAACATGTCGTCCCCTTAGACACATCATCGTTAGACTTACCAGAAGGTGAGTTTTATTCTACTTTTTGTATTTATTTAGAGAGTATTATTAAAACGACTCATTTCATTTTATTATGCAATGTGGATTCTTATTGGAACCCTTGAAAGAATCCATTACGAATGTTTTTTATGACAAAATGGCAAACGTGAATACATTCTCCATGAATAGATTTCTCGATAGTTGCTTGGAGATAAGATCGGGAAACTTTCTAACTGAAAAAATGTAAAAAGTATTTTGTTCAATTACTATACTAAAGCTAATGGATCCTTCTAATCCACAACTCATGTCGTATGTCTTTTGATAGTGACTCTAAAACGTGGGTTGAAAAATCTGAATCAAATTAGAACTGTCTATGTAGGGAAGGACAATGCGGGTTTGTGACTTCATGACTATTCTACTATACCAGTCAAACTGTCGCATGTCTATATGCTTACAATAATCGCATATTAAAAACAAACATTATAAATAATTTCAATAGAAAAAACATCACTTCTTGATTAAAATAACAGAATTGTTTTTTCAGGATTAGGACTTTTTCAAATCAATTTTTGTGGCATGATGCATTATGGGATACATTGTAAAAAGACAGTCATCTCAAAAGGAACACGGTTTGGCCCTTTCGTAGGGAGGATCGTTCATACGAGTGAAATAAAAACAAACGACGACAATACATTCATGTGGGAGGTATGAATCTTGCGTAGTAAATAAAAAAGCATTTTACCATTCATTTTTATATTTAAAATACATCAATACATTTACGTGTGAATATTTCAAAAGAAGGTTTTACCGTGTTTTATATATAATTTAGGCATGATTTAATCTTGGAATGTTGATAATATAAAGGCTATATAAATAATTAGTATTTTATTTATTATTAGGTATGGTAACACATGCGCTTGTTGTATTTAATAAATATGCATTTATGTATTTAGAATACCCCGGTACTAACGCCAACAATATACCAATGGTTACGTTTAAATTCTCAAAATATTTCAGATTTTCCATAATTCTAAACTAAGTCATTTCGTTGATGGGCGGGGAAGTGCTGGTAATTGGATGTCGTATGTTAATCCAGCCCGTTATGCCCAAGAACAAAACCTGATTGCTGTGCAATGTGATAGTGATATTTACTACGAGGCGTGCAAGGATATTCCACAGGGTACGGAACTACTTGTTTGGTACGGGGATGGATATTTGCAGTTCATGGGCATCCCGGTAGCTCTCAAGGACAATTCATGCGACACGGAGGTAGAGAAGGAGGAAGAAAGTAAGCCAAGTATGATCGCCGTTCCAACTTGATTTACAATAGATGTGTGGTCCAATTCTTATTAATTAATTAGTTTTAAATCTGTGAAAAAATCTTCAAGCATATATCATGGTGGGGTGTAGAAACTTATTAAACAATTCTCAAACAGTAAGATCATATGAAATAATATATTTGGATGCAGGTACCATTTCCCTCTTATGTTGCTTCTTAGTAATTAGCAAGTACTTTGAAGCAAAGTTATGTTGAACAGTTGCCATTGATAAGCCTCTTTATTAATTAGCTTTAAATATAGTTTTATAGATCTAATTCCCTACACTTTTAGTTTAGAGCCCGTTTCGGCTATCGAGCTAGACTTGCTGATTCGATCAAATCCCTTGTGAACCACAGCTCGTCGATATTCTTGCTTAATGGCTGCAATGAGCGAAGGGAACAATAAATAGCGCACACTTATTTTGCATAATGTTTAATATTTTCAGGCAAAGAAGGGTATCAATGTGAAAGGTGTGGGAAAGTATTTGCCTACAAGTATTACAGGGATAAGCATCTCAAGTATACTCGATGTGTAGATATGGGGGACAGGAAATTCCCTTGTCACCTATGTAGTAGGTAAGTAATGTACGATTACTCGATTCCTTGTGGATTTGAGCTCGATATGGCTTGAGGTAAATTATAATTTATAAAAGATAGATTATTCAAAATTAGCATTTTTGTGTTATTTCCTTTTGTGCATATCATCAAGTCACAAATGAATTACATTTGTAACCAAGTCTGTGTGTACGAGGTAAGAAGGAAAATGATATATTTCTGTCACTTACCTTTTTGTTATATTGGGATTCTTGATATGAAATCAAAAATCAACTCCGTACATTTTCCTCACCATGGCATCTCGTAACAAGTACTTGGTTTTGTTTTTAGATCATTTGAAAAAAGAGATAGGTTACGGATACATATTCTACATGTCCATGAAAAACATAGACCTCACAAATGTGCTGTTTGTGGCAAGAGCTTCAGTCAGTCTTCTAGTCTCAACAAACACATGAGGGTAGGTACAGTGCATGGAATAACTAAGCTTACCCCACAACGATAATGTTTCCGCTTACGGTTGGCAAGCCATACTTAAGAACCGGAAGTCAGTAAAAATTCTGAAGATGGGGTCCATGAGAACATTTTTGTTATGGATTAGATTTTACCTACCAAATGAATCTTAAAATAATGAACTAAATTAAGCTTAGACTGTAAGATTTGCCACCGGGTCGTGCTGGCGAGTTGTCCCATTGATATTTTGGTCAAGTTTAATCTAGATCCAATAGATTGTACACATTTTTAGGAATACCAAAATTACATTACTTCATTTAAATTTTAGAAATTAATGTTAGGCTAGTTAGTCGGATCTAAATAATCTAGATATAATTTACTAATTTACTTTATTTCAGGTGCACAGTGGTGAGCGTCCCTACAAATGTGTTTATTGCAGTAAAGCATTTACAGCATCTAGCATTTTACGTACACACATAAGGCAGCATTCAGGGGAAAAACCGTTCAAAGTAAGTCTACTGAACTGTACAACTGATATTTGCACTGTCTCTCACAAAAAAACAGATGGGGTAATAGAATGATTTCAAAACAGTGACCACCTTACATTTTTAATTGTTATTTTGAGAAGGCACAACTGGCAATACCCTTACATTTTTTTAAAATTTTATATTGATTTCTCAATTCACCCCTTATAAAAGAGTACAAAAGACAAACTTAACTAATATAGTAGCAAACATTGAAATAACATTTGCATATGTAGATTTTTTTGCCACAGCTTCGATTAAAAATTTACAAAGTTTTAATAGTATATTTTTGTTTGAATTCATTAATTTCTCAAACTTCTGTGTGTTTGGACTAAAGAATCCTAATATACCGATAAGATTTTGCAGTTTGGCAACCGGGTTTGGTAACTCCCTTTTAATGGTGTCTGATGATCACGTGATGATGACACATAGTGATGACACACACAGTTTATGTCTGATCTAAATGTAGACTTAACCCACTATTTAAATCAATCTATAATTCCACACTTTGTTTGATCCCATGGTATCTCATTGCAAAATCAATTAGATAAACAATCAACATATTGTCTCATTTCTCTTGTACCAACGTGTATCTAAACATTAATTACACAGGCAACTTCGGGGCCGATAGCAGGACACGAAGTAATTAATAACGAATAAACACGATATGAGAAGATACATTATGTAGTCCTTGGGCTATGTTTTCATGTAACTTTAATCTTCATATCTTTTGTGAAGTATAACTGTTAAAATAATATACTACGGCAAAGGATACAACGTACGTCGATATTTTTCACCAAGAAGACAATATTTGAACGTGAAACTTCATTTTTGGCCTTTCCATTTATTATTTCCTGTATTTTCGGACAATTCTAATCTGAAAATAACATGGTTTACTTCTGAACAGTAAAGACTGGATGGCGTTTCGCACATGTCAAAGCTGGGTGTCCAAAATCTATAAGATCATATTATTCACATGAGTTGGTTCTCGAACATACAATTTTAAATAATTAATACTTAAAAAATAAAATATGATAAAATAAAATGTATTTCCAATGTACATGTATATTGAAAATATAATTGTAGTGCAAGCACTGTGGAAAATCATTTGCATCCCACGCAGCGCATGATAGCCATGTGCGGCGCACGCATGTCAAGGACCGATTGTGCGTATGTACGATATGTGGCAAGGGGTTCTCGCAACAATATGAATTGAAGTTTCATATGTCAGGCCATGGTAACGTTGCTCAGTTCGCCGGCTCGACTACACAGATACCCACCCCTACTTCACTGCCCAAACAACAACAGCAAACACAGCACACGCACCAACAAACTCTGCAGCCAGTTCCTGGTAAGTAAGTATATTATTGTTATATTTTCCATTTATATACATTCTATGGACAGTGTACTTTGAAATATGATTTTGTGCCATTTAGTTTAACGACTCCATAACTTCATTGTATAACTATACCCTAACTTAATCATACCAAAGATTCAATTTTACCTTTTTGTTTCTTGGGTTAAACAATTTGTATTTGAATCAAACCAATTTTTCAGGTGACCCTCTCCAACCTCCAAGTTTCGGTGGGTATTGGGAGAGAGTACCTTCAAATAAGGGAACAAAATTACCTCCAACTATGAGTCCACTAGTCCAGGCAACGATGCACAATGGTCACAGTATGGCGGGAAATATGTGCACTCAAACAGTGCTGCGATCTGATATTAGTGGAACAGGACTGACAACCAGCAGTGTGAAAGGTCAAAACGAGGCTATTTTGTCTGACGAGGAAATTGACATTGAAACGCCGCCTATCGGTGATCAAACAATCTCGGGCATTGTTGTTTGAACCGCCAGAACAATCAGTTGAGACATGATCCCGACGTCTTTAAACAAGTCATTTATTATCCATCCATAATCAAAAATCTCTAGTCATTGACGAGAAATGAAAGTTGGATCCACGGGAGCCATTCTTCTCAAACAAAGGATTATAAATCCTGTCAGTTTTTAAAATAACAATCACTATGATTTGAAAATTATCGAGTGATCGACGACTTAAAAAGTCTCCATGACAGTATAACAAACCCGTGTATCTGTCTCGGCCGAAATATTCTTACCAAATTGTAAATATTTACTACAAGGTAATTATTATATATTGTATGACTGTGTATATAGAGACTGCATTAAATGCATATTATGGAATTAATTTATATAAAAATAAATATAGATATTTATTATCAAAACTATTGTTTTTGGTACACCATTCCGAGTATTTCGTTGGAGAAAATCTCGCAATTATATTTAAATTGAATAGTTCCAGGAAAAATGGAACTTTTACTCAGTTCTTATAATTCTGTGGGACAATTCTTGTAGAGAATTTAGTTTGTATAGTAAGCAACGAATTCGAAATAATAACAAGATCATGAATTTAACTAGAGAGATCTAGTATAGTAACATGTCAAAAGAGTCAAGTAACATAATCTAAATATGTTTACACAAATGATCGTAAGTTGTCCATGTAGTTCACAAATTATGCAAGCATGACAGAAACAAGTGTATTTGAAACAACAGTGAGGAAATTGAATTCTGATAACAAAGAGACACACCCTCACACCCAAACCAATGATCAAACGCAAAAAGAAACAAAATCACATAACGCCAAATTCGCAAGAAATTCGCCATTATATTTTTAAAAGTAACATTCTTCAATACTTCAATAATTCTAATTAATACGTCTTTATGATGTCCGATTGTAAGTTTTAGAATCATGCATATATTATATACACAGAGTCCATGTACTAACTGATTGATATGAATAACAATTTTGTCTCACGATATTATCTTTTGGAACACTTTAAACTTTCGCTCAAAAGTGTTGAATATCATAAACAAATGTTTAAATCTCACAAGTCGCACATGTACTGAGTTACACAAACATCAAGTTTAGAACAATTCACTGAAGTAAAAACTGTAGTGAAATGGGGTTGTTGGTAATTTTCACTGCGCTTATTGGTATTATTATTTCATCAGGTACAGCTTCTACATTTTTTAATTATTTCTTAAAGTAAAAATAACTGTTGAGTTTTATTTAGTGGTTTCTTATGAGATGTAATTCATCTAATAAAGTCATGTTATGTTATGTAGTTGCCCTAGTTTGGTTATGAAAAAATATCAAAAAATAATTGTTGATTATGCAAGAATTATGCCAAATTGAGTGGTACAATGATGATTATAAATAAGGATAATTGAGACAAGGTGTGTTAAGAACATGGTAAGTGCATGTTCAATAAGTACTGATAAAAATCCTGTAACATTTTTAATTTTTTATATTTCTGACTAATGTGGTTCGTGTTGGTTCAGGTTCATGCAGACCTTTTTTTAATCCATTTTGATAGTTGGTAAATAAACAGTGGTATTACGATACCTTGACAACACCTATTTATAACATCAAAAAGCAAATTGTAAGGTGACAATGGCATCAAGGAGCAATTCATAAGAATACAATTACACCACAGAGCAATTTAAGATTGATCAGATGACATATGACATCATTGTCAAATTACATCACACCGAACAGAAATTATGTCATCGACAACCTGGCTGCTGCACAGTATATCAATAATATTCACAATCAAATTAGAAGCAGCATCAAGTTCTATATACTCTAAAGGAAGGACACTATATCTAGTTATCTACCCCTGGTATATATTGTCAGTTCCGCTAATCAGAAAACTTGCAGACATTACTGGTTCAAGTGTTGGTTGTGAAAACCATGTTATCCATAAAGATTTAGAAATGACATTGATGTGTGACAAGTTGGTGCTCATGCAAATTGACTGAGAATCAATATTCACATTTTAAGTCATTTTGAAACGTTTTTTTCGTGCAGGCCTGATCCACCACTAACCACCTTTGGCTCAACTCAACATCACCTTCCTGTTAGAGCACATTCCTGTAATTTTCACAGTGCATCAGTATAATAGTCAACAATGTAGACTAAAAAGACTAATAAGATATATGAAAAATAAAAAAGTTACAGCATTTTATCAGTACTTATTGAACGACCTGTAGACATGGTATTTTGAAGTGTCTATAATACATCTATCCAAATTAAATTTACAGTTGATAGTCAACATGCTCCAAACTGTGCTGATGGGAGACATGTAATAGTTCATTTGTTCGAATGGAAATGGACCGACATTGCTCAGGAGTGCGAGAGATTCCTTGGGCCCAAGGGTTTCTGTGGCGTACAGGTCAGCGCATTTCACAAACAAGATGCACTAGGCAGCATAAGCAAAAATAATGTTATGTATTACACGATTCGGTTGGAGGAACCCAACTTTAACCTTGACCTGAATATTTATTTTAAGTGAACCTAGGATGTTTCTTCTACCACCAAAACATTTAATTAATTTGATGAATGCAATGACTTGCAGAAATAGGATCTCAGAGCCGGGAATGCAGTAATAAATTCATAAAAAGTTGCTAAATTGCTTTAGCTATATAAAATCAAATTTAGTCTGATGTTCTATAATACATTATTGACCATGTTTTATGTTATAAGTATTTCTTTCATATAGAATAACACCACCGGGTATCACAATAACCAACCATGGTTCGAAACTTTTGTTTCATAAAATGCCCATGGATCTCAGCATATGATATTTTGTTTTCACCCACCCACTACACCAGATATATTATCTTTTCATCAATAGATTTCCCCGCCAAATGAACATAGGGTGATATCTGACCCATGGCGTCCATGGTGGCAACGTTATCAACCGGTCAGTTACAAACTGGTCAGCCGTAGTGGCGACGAATCCGAGTTTAGAGACATGGTAGAACGATGCAACAATGTAGATGTTAGGTGGGTTTGTTTTTCAGAATATCACTCAATTAATGTTGATCGGTTGGACGTTTTAGAACTGAGGCCCAGGAATACGTTAAAAATGTTTAAAAAGTCCGCTAATGTACTGAGTTGTTGATGCGTGGTGTATACATGTATATTATGTATAGGAATAAGACTGATTTTTATAAGCTTAATGGATAAGAATAAGACTGATTTTTTTATTAATGACAGTATACCCAGGCCTCAGCTTTAGAACTAATAGAGCAATAGATGTAGTGTAAATACATAGGCGTTCGATGATGAGGATGTCAAACAGGTGGCGCTGTAGTTAGCCGTTTTTATATATTTTATGAATATATGAACAACACTAATGCCATCTTTATATCATCCTGAAACCTAATAAAGCAAATACTTCATCAAACATCAATTCTTGTGAAAGATGGATTTAAAATTTATTTATTTCGCTTTGGAATTATAATAACTATACTTACATTCTTATTACTGGAATTTATTGTTAGAATATACGCCGACGTAGTTGTTAACCACATGGCTCGAGCTGGATACCAAGGCCAGGGGAGCGCTGGTAGTGATTTCAATTCTAATTCGCTAAACTTCACCGGCGTTCCATATGGCCCCAACGACTTCAACTGTTGTTGGTGTTCAATGTGCGTTACTGCCAGCTGCAGTATTGAGAGTTACGTAGATGCAAACCAAGTGAGAAACTGTCGCCTCGATCGTCTAACTGACCTGGCTTTGGGCAATGATTACGTCCGTGGAAAGGTTACTGAATACTTAAACAAGCTTATCGACATTGGCGTTGCTGGGTTCAGAGTGGATGCAGCAAAACATATGTGGCCGGGGGATATGGAAATTGTCTTCAGCAGATTGAATAAACTGAATTCACAATGGTGGCCTGCTGGTACTCAACCGTTCATTACTTCAGAAGTTATCTACATCAGTGGAAGTAATGAGCCCATAAGAGGCAGTGACTATACGTATCTTGGGCGTGTTACAGAATTCAACTATGGGGGGCATTTAGGACGAGCTTTCAGAAAGCAGTACCCATTAAGGAACTTGATAACTTTTGGAGAGACCTGGGGGATGCTGCAGTCTGAAAATTCCTTAGTGTTTATTGATAATCACGATAACCAGAGGGGGCATGGTGCAGGTGGTAAGGACATTTTGAGCTTTTATTTTCCCAAATGGTATAACATGGCAGTAGCTTTTATGTTAGCTCATCCTTTCGGTTTTACACGCCTCATGAGCAGTTACAGATGGGATGGAGGTCCGTACTCAAACGACTGGATTGGTCCGCCATCACATAGTGACGGATCAACTAAAGATGTACCAATCAACGCAGATGGGACATGTGGTGATGATTGGGTGTGTGAACATAGATGGCGTCAAATTACAAACATGGTGTACTTTAGAAATGTTGTTACCGGAACTGGTATAGAGCATTGGTGGGACAATGGGAATCACCAGATTGCGTTTAGTCGTGGTGACAGGGGTTTCATTGCATTCAATAATGATGACTCACCGATGAACGTCTACATCAGAGTTAGCCTACCTCCGGGCCAGTATTGTGATATCATCAGTGGTGGTCCAACTGTGACTGGTTGTTCCGGAACAATTGTGACTGTTGGAGATGATGGCAACGTTCATGTTGACCTCAGTAATTCTTTAGAGGATCCTATGATAGCCATTCATACTTGTAAGTATAACCTATACAGGTACAATGCAAACAATTCAATATAAAATGATTCTAGCATGAATAGACATATGGTCATGGTGAAGCGATTACCCCTTAATGCTTGAAACACGCCTTCCCTTAGATGCCCGACCAGGCAGCGGAGGTGGAAGCACGGTAGCGCCCCCAACATCTGGACCCACGACGCCACCCCCGACTCGACCCCCGGGAGCAGGTGACTTCCAAAGAACTGTGGTTTTTCTCAAAGCCTCAACAGTGCCAGGGCAAAATGTTTTTATCAGGGGAGGTATTAGCCATGGCTATAGAGATGGTAAGCACCAATAGGGACACTTTCTCCAAGTAAGATTACTTAAGGAAAAATATAGACAGAGAATCTAGATGATCGGTCGTTGGTCGCCAAGTATTCATGAACTAAAATCATTGTTGAGGATCGACAACAGGTGTCAACGAATATGGACTTCTTTTTACTTTTTTTGATTATATTATTTTGCAATATATGCTAAAACTTCAGGTTGTACAAATGACGTTATGACAAGTGCGTGCGCACTCACCATTCAACACAATTATCTTGGTAATTCTAGTCACTATACAGCCTATAATGCTTGGAAAACAGGAGACAACTATCTGGACTGGTAAGCACTTATGTGTAAGTCCAATTAATTTCAAGTTCAGGATCCTATCGAAAAATGCTCACACTTTTAGTTCATTCACCAAAATGGTATGAAATGTTGCATTAATTTTTAAGCAATTGTTGGCCAGGTTACGTAGTTTATCACAAACATAAAATTCATGAGAATGATTAAGAAATATACTACATGTACATCTACAATACATACAAATAAAACTATGGCTATCTGTCAACCTCTGGAACCAAAACGGAACTGATTTTATATGTTTATTGTTTATTTTCCCTCAAGGTATGGCGCAGAGAGTGGTCAAGGTAAATACCTAAATGAAGTTGCCAGTGGTACACCGGAAGTCTGGACAACTGACAATCCAAACAACAATGGTTATCAGCCAATTAATGTGTGAGTCTTAGATTGTATTCGCGAATGGAACTGACGGCTGTCGGTTACCAGATTAACCTAATATTTTATGACCAACTCATTTAAATATGCATGAGATGGTGGCAGGTACTATTCATATTTAAATGAGTTCCCAGTAAAATAGTAGATTAATCCGGTAGCCGACAGGCGTTAGTTGCATTCGCGAATACAAGCTCACATATCGAAGCAGTTACTCTATATGGTGTATGTGGTGTATCTTTATTGCCTCCTAATATTGGAGAGTACATACTTTAATATATTACAATGATAATAAATAACAAAAATATAACATATAATACATTATATACAAGGGCGTTTGAATATAATAGTGCGATCAGATCATCTCAGTCAGCTTATTGAGGTGCTACCGCTGCCCCAACATTACACCTAATCTAGTTCTAATAGTGCCATATGATAAAAGTTATGTTCATACTCTACCAGTATTTACAATTATTGGGTTTATTTGCAGAGTATCATCCTATCGTTACTAGTGTACATTGTATAAATCGCCTTTGATATCGTTACGTAGCTATCTAGTAGTTTATCTTTCCCAAAAATGATTGCTAATTTGATCTCATTTGAGCAATTTTCGGGGATAATATTTGCGTTTAACTCTCTTTGGATTATATCTCTCATTTTTTCGTAACATCTTCACTTATCGTGTTCTCCAATGACAGGGGCGGATCTGGGAATCAACAAGGGGGGGGGGGGGGGGGGCCCAAATTTCAAGTCAGAGAAAAAAACGTCCGCGCTTGCGAGGAAAATTTTTTTGGGCCCCTATTACCCTAAAGTGGGCCCAAATTTTGAAATTTTGAGGCCCATTTTCTTCAAAATTTGGCCTGAAATTAAAAAATAAGGCCCCCCAGCCCCCCCCCCCCCCTAATCCGCCAGTGAGTGACCCAGGTCGTGTCGCATGCACCAGAAGCACACAAGATCATAATGAACACTGAAATGATCTAGCTGAAATAAAAATTACCCAGTTTTCTTTTCAAGAGTTCAAACTTTCGATTTATTCATTATCAATTTATATTTGGATAGTTTTCAGTTACATTATTCGATTTTGTAATCTTCTTTTACAGGTACGGCGAGCATTATTGGATGACCGATTTCAACATGGATTGTTCTGAATCAGAAAATGGATGGTTTGAGCTGAAGGGTTTCGTTACCAATTATTCATCTGGTTGGGAGACTAATATATCTCAGGTACATCGCTCTGTATTTTGTAATTGCTATCTAGCGAATATCTTCTTTGTTGAATCTCTTTTCAACAATTCCAAAGGTATGCTCTGTAAAAGAGATTCAAGATTTTATTGTGTTTCAAACCAAACACTTGGTTTCCTCACAAAATCAATTACAAGACATTTACATATAATTATACAGTTAAAAAACAACATGCATTGTTTCACAAATACCATCATACAATCTTTCCTTTTTCAAATAGCTCCCGACGCTGATTAAAAAGTTTATTTATAAAATGTATCAATTCGTTAACAATTTCAAAATCATCAGAAGTCATCAAAAAGTTATATTTTTCTTTATCCGACATATTATCAAATGTGTCAATAAAACTTAGTTTATTAAAAAATTCAAATCTACATTTTTTATAGCCATCACACACAAGAAGAAAATGCTTTTCATCCTCTACTTCCCCCTTATTGCAAATCTGAATGTCAATTGTCAATTGTCTATTTAAATCTTTACTTCATCATAGGATGTGATTGAGCTAATTTGAGAAGAACATATTGGTTGGATCCCCTGCATCAAATACTAGATATTAATCTCTAAATTCTGCATTTATACCATAGGACGCCGTGTGTACTGGGAGCGTTGGCGGAAACACCCCGTATTCGAGTACCAATCACTTAGCAAGATGCGGTTATATCAACGTCTTTGAGTTCAATGATAACGCTTGTAGGATAGATTCCTTCAATGCTTGATATGTACAGTATATGGAATACACAAAATGTTTACAGCTAACTGGTAATAATGTTGATTATTTCTTTAGAAATAATAACAGTCCCCTCCATATTTGATAAAAAACTAATTGTAATATTAAAGTTGTTTAGGGCCATAAATAATTACTGTATTAAACAATAATTCAAAGTCGAATACAAAAATAGTAAACATTTAATTGCCATTATTATACTTATAGGTCCACCATTCGTTTTTCGATTCCATGATCAAGGTATGCACGTTGAACAATTTAAAATTCTGGTGTACGTTTCAAACTGGAATATATTAGGTGATCTCTGTTCTGCAATGTCTGATGTGCAGTTTGATATACCTGGAATTATATGGAACATTTTATTACATTTAAATAATTATAGAAAATGACTGCCAAGAATAAGAATGAATACTGTATAAATAAGTGAACAATTAATACCCCATTTTTCAAGTGTAACTCTACAATGCACTTCGCAAACCATTCGATATAGACATCCTTAATACGGCCGCTGACTCCACGAACGTCTGGACAAAGAACAGGTTCCCCCACGCAGCCTGGAATCATTAATGGCAGACTGAGGAACTGTTGTTGGGAGAGACATAGAATTAATCTGGAAGAATTTAAAAATGTAATGCAAACGTTTAAAATGGGACGAGCAGAAATGTTGACGGCTATCAGATCAGCATGCTATGGTATGGTCATCCAAATAGAGTAAATATTTTACTTTTCAAACGATGAATTATAACAACCAAGTATAACGATTATCGTTAGATGTTATCGTATGGTACAAATGCAGATGACAACTGCATAGCAATACGGTTGCTCGTACGTAGATGTTTATACTGATATCATTAACGAAGGAAGTTTTGATTAAAAATTTTCGACAAATTAGCTCGTGATAAAAATTCATTTGAAGATAAATAAATACCACTGGCTGACCACTCTGTCTTGTCGGAACATTTCTTTCCTCTTATTCCACGTGCTTCTTGAACAATGTCATTTAGAAATCCCTCAGAGGTTCCAGTGTATTGGCTTCTAGAATATACCAATGGATCATCAATGGCATTTACATGTTTATGATCATCATTTGAGGCAAGGTGTCTAGAACGCTATGGAATAAATTCAAGCTTAGTAACTTTTTTCCAATTAGAATCTTGGATTTCCAAGGTATGCTGTGTTCGAAAAATCAAACTGGGAAACGAGTATGCCAATAAGTATGATTACAACATGTCCAAGGAACATAATATGACTCTGATATCGTATTCATTTCATGGACCTTGGGTAAGCTGGACCACGATGTACTATTGATGTGGTAAATCTATCGAGCATTCGTCATAAAGCAAAAAAGGATGTAAGGAAGTTCAACTTATATATAGCTGTAATTGGGTCAGATGTTTGCCAAAGCTTCCACAAGTGTGATGTGTGATACAAGGCCTAATAGAACCAGGACGATGCCGATCAGCGTCCTCTGATACACCTTGATCGTGATTTTGAATCACTTTAAAAGGAGCACGTAGGTTATCGCAAACAATTTCACTATATGCATATTGCTTCAGCAATATGTTGATATCAATCAATATTTACAAGCTTCGTATCTGTCCTCAGAACGTAGTATTTGAGCGTGGTGACCAACGATGACATATCACCATGTATTACCTTGACGGGTTACGCCACCTCTAAAACGAGGTTGGACTGCTAGTACTAAAAACAAACATACATTATTACCACCTTGCCGGGCCAGTTCTAGGGGTTTTAGTGCTAGTTTAGAAGGCGTTCATTTTACTATATCGACCTGAGAAATGTGTGACGTCATAGTGGTGGTCCATATGGACCGGTCTAGAATATATTCTGGACCGGCAATTTTCCCCGGGAAATTAGATATCGTTGAATGCGTAAGATTTTCTTGCTGTTTCAGTCCAGAGCCCTCATTATCCGGTCAGCGCTAAATTAGCGTTGCGATTTGCGTTGCGCTTGCGAATCAACATTATTCGCAAGCGCAAATCATGGTTTGCGTCGTATTACGCGCTTCACGCAAACGCAGACGCAACGCAGACACAACAGTAATGCTAATCGCAAATAAATTGGAAACGCGGGAAATTTAAACTTAGAGCTCAAAATAGATTTATCGATTTTTTAACGTCTATGTATATGTTTACGCCAGTGCGGATGTGTCAATCCAATACTTGGACGTGTTATAGGTACATAAAGCTGGTTTGTAAAAACTTTTATTCCATACTTAGTAGTGTTATAGGTATATAACATGCGGGAATATAACTGATATGTGACGTGAGCGGGAGATATATATATCTCCCAATCAGCAGATCTACGACGTCATAAATTCAGGGAGTAGATACTGAGCCAGGGGACTTTGCTATTATTCCTCACAATCTACTAAGTATAGAATAAATCAGTTATTAAATGCTCGATTTTTGATACAGGGTATATCCCTCGGTAAATACAATATATCAACCCTCGGTCCCTACGGTCCCTCGGGTTGATATATTGTACTTCCCTCAGATATACCCTGTATCAAAAACCTCCCATTAAATAACCTCTATATATTTTCATCAGCGGTCAGATATAGAGATTATCCTATATGAGGTTCAGGATATTGGGATTATCAGTCATTACGCGAACGTTACAAATTATGAACAAATATGCGAGCGGCGATTATGACGTAGCGGGCAGATATACTATATCTGCCCGCTCGAAGCGGGACGTAAAGCTATATCTGCCCGCTGATGAAAATATAAGATTTTACAAACTGGCTTTATGCACCTGTAACACGTCCAAGTATGGGATAAATAGCTATACGTCTCGCTCTGAGCGGGCAGATATAGTATATCTGCCCGCTGACGTCATAACCGCCGTTCGCATATTGGTTCATTTGTGTAACATGCGCATAATTACTGTAAACGTTAATGGAGAAAAGGCAGACAATCGCGATCTGTTTGAAGGAAGGAAATGAGCGTATCCCTGTTAAACAAGGATTTCAGAAATAAATGTGGATGAATATCTGAAAATCAGGCTATTCTAAATGAATTCTTACGGTTGGTTGGACATTTTCTGAACTCCGGCCAATTGAACAGCGTGAACAAAATGACCAAGATTGGTATGGGATAAACAGATCATCCTATAGTTCAATATCCTGAACCTCATATAGGATAATCTCTATTTATCCCATGATACTACTAATTCCCGATGAATAACCGGGAATATTTTTGATATTGAGAAAAAATCGTATTGAAAATTTTTGCCAAACAAAGCTTCCTCTTTCAATCAGTTGGGTCGATATAGCATGCTAAAATGATGTTCTTATGTGAAAAACGAATTCCAGTTTTATCATCATCGCTCTGACACAGACAAAAATGCTTGAATTGCTGAATGTTTTTATGTTGATGTGTTTATGTTACACATGTACAATAATTTTTTTATATTTAAAAATATCATAAAGCTAAGTCATATTTTCTTGATTAAATATACCATTTTTTCATAGAAAAATCTAACTAATGATTTTATGAAGACAGTTATGAATATCATGGAATAAAAAGCTAATTTACTGGTCGGGATTAAATATGGGTTTATTCCTCATGACAATTTGATATTTCACATATTGTGAGGGACAATTTGGTATTTCCCTCTGACCCTCCGGGCTCTCGGTAAATATCATATTGTCCATCATAATAAAACCCATATTGAATCCCTCCCACTACATAACCTATATATATCTTGCGAAAATCTAGATCTGTCACTGGAAGGCAGCCCATCTTGAAAACAAGACACGGTGTCTTTGTAATTAGTCCGACTGATATAGCCTACCTAGAGAAAACCGCCGATACCTCAGCAACAATGTTCGAAACAGTAGGTTGGGATACCCCGAATATATAGGGGTTATGCACTGGGAGGTTTTGGATACAGGGAATATCCCGAGGGATATACAATATATCTTCCCGAGGGACCGAAGGGACCGAGCGAAGATGTATTGTATATCCCAAGGGATATTCCATGTATCCAAACCGACCGTGCATAACTGGTGTATCTCATACTTGAGTGGGTTTAGGGTAGATATAACCTTTTCCACCTTTTTCAAATGACAAGATGTTTATATTTAACATTTTCGTAATATTCTTTTTGTTCAATACAATGAAATTGTAACATTTAAACTTAAAAAAATTAAATTTTAAAATTAAAAAATTAAAACTTTTGATATTTAAACTTTTAAAAAATTCCCGGGAGCGGGATGGATATATTATATCTGCCCGCATTTGGCCTGGAGCGGGACATATACAATATATCCTGCCCGCTCCTCAGATACGATATATATTCCCGGGTGATATCTACCCCAAACCCACTCAAGTATGAGATACATCTCCATTTATCATTTGCATACAACCTGTAGCATAAAATCGTAATGAAATGAATACTTTTAGCTGACATGGAATTGCCTGAGGATTCCTTGTTCTTGACGCTAGATCCCCATCTAATATATTAATCAACTCAAGAATGAGTGGCCTCGGCATGCGATATCTGTTTAATATCTCATCGTCAGTTATCTCTAACGGCTGACTCCTGTCTCTGAATAAGCGTAAACCTCTTCTATTGTGAACATCCTGGAATAATATGCGCCACATTTTCCAGCTTGATCGAACCCTAATATTTTAATTTTAGCAGACGATATTTGCGAAATGGAATTGCGATATTTATTATAGATTTCACAAAACCAAGGTAGCATAATCGTGCACTTTCAGACTTGATTTTGATAAATTTTGGTTATTTGTGTCTCTAATGTTTTTCAACCTATTTTTAGTTGGATGTCTCAAAGGGCACTTCCTAGATTTCTACAACGATACTGTTAATTTAAATAGGAAAACTATCAAGATTCTTGATGATATGTTTGCGATTTATATTGCGGCAGGGTCAGGGATGCCGCAAATAAAGTGGAGTTTGCGACATAAAAATCAACTGATTTACGTGGACGCAACTGTGCGATGACTGCATAATACCAATTTGCGTGCGGTTAGCAGTGTATTTGCGATGCGAAATGAAAATAGCGATGCGTCTACCGTGTAATAAGAAAACTGCGATTTGCGCTAAAGACGCAAAACGGCAATGAATTTGCGCTAGAGTGCCTTTGAGATGACCTCATAATAACGTTTTGCGTACGATTCGCTAAATATTTACGTTGCGATTGCGATTTGCGGTGCGTCGACCGGATAATGAGGCCTCGGGTCGTTAACGGTGGTAATAATACTAATAACGTCATTTCTGCGAGCAATATAGTGAAATATTGGACCTTGGGCCTTCGGTCCAATATTTCACTATATTGCCCTTAGAAATGACGTTATTTTACTAGTAACACAGGCTGGTATCGAAAGATTTGTCCGCTGTGACACAGCATGCTATTTTTCATAAAAAAACTAAGAATGCTTCACGATTTATTTTTTAACTCACATGTTTCGTTATATCAAAGATAATTACTTACTCCATGCAATGGATATATCATTTGCGTGTAACCTTCACTTCTGTTTTAAGTCCAATAACGCTAGGAGTAAAATCTAGTGAAAACGGTGCCAGAGTATCAAACTCTAAATTGTACCATTTCTTTTTTAATTTTTCAATGGCATGATATAGTGACACGATAATATCAACATATGTTTTCAGCATAACTCTGAATGTATTGATGAGATATTAATGCATTGGGTCTTTTTAATTTTTTTATAAAAAATAATATTAATATTTTTTGTCCGCTGTGACGGAGCATTTTCACAGTTCACATTTGCAACTGCTCCGTCACAACGGACAAAAAAAATTAAACATTATTTTTTATAAAAGAATTAAAAAGACCAAATACATCAACATCTCATTTATACCTTCACAGTTATGCTTAAACCATGTGTAAATATTATCGTGTCACTATACTATATCGTGCCATTAGAAAGTTAAATAAGAAATGGTACATTTTGAAGTATGATACTCCGGCGCCATTTTCAATAGCTATTCTTCCCAGCGTAATTGGACTTCAAACAGAAGTGAAAGTTACCCGCAAATGATATATCCATTGCATGGAGTAAGTAATTTTGTATGGTATAACGAAACATATGAGTTAAAAAATAAATCGTGAAGTATTCTTAGTGTTTTTATGAAAAATAGCATGCTCCGTCACAGCGGACAAATATTTCGATACCAGCCTGTGCTTACTGGCCCTGACTGTGTATGAATAATAAGGAAAATAATTGTAATTAGGTCACCATATAAATCAATAGAGAGTAGGACCAAAATTTCATAGGACCACCTACCCTTGTACACCGGTGTGTAGTGAAGGCTTATTTCCCCGCTACATTTTATTTGTTCTTGTAAAGCATACCGTCAAGAAGTAAGAGTAGGCAAAAATAGATGGAAATGACGGTCAGCAAGCTGCATCTTGAGTTCAGATAAACCTTTAAACAATATAAGGCCCCGTCGACCAAAAAAGATTAGATGGCCATCAAAGAAAGTAAATACCAAGACGGTGGTTAAGATGGAATCACTTTATATATTTCTACATGCGCTTTACTTTGAATGGAATGCAAACGACGGCTCATTTACAGACATCCAATATTAGGACCCAAAAAGCAACCCAAAGTATTTCCACATTCGGGTCTGGGTCCACATGGCCCAGACAAATGTTTGAAAACGATATCGCTTGAATTGACTTGGCGGACGCAGTCGATATTGTGAGTGTTTTAGTTTAAGCGTCCAAATACAGTAGAAAAAGCGCGCGTGTGTAAATCTTTATTACAAATATATTTCAAAATCACATCGGTGATCTTACTGATGAAAAATATCGCATTAATGTTGAGCACGGAAATATTGAAGGATCAAAAGTCCCAAATGATATCATTGATCACTATCTACACATGTCCTCAAACAACATGTGAGCTATTACAGTCCCCACATATCCAGTTGCCTTGTGCGATCCGCCAACCTTTTTTGTACAGATGTAATGTACATTACATACATTCCCACTGGATCTTATACTCGAGGGGTTCAACTGATTTATAAAGTCAACTTCAAGGTTCTTAGTAAGTGACTCGGTAAGAGCATTAGCAGCGGCAGCTCTGAAGTCATTCTTCCTATGGTGACCGTCAGACAGAAATCCTTGCTTATGAGGAAATGCTGGATTACCAAACCAGATGATACGCATCTTTTTCCATGTTGGATTTTGGCGATATTTTCTGATAAGTGGCACAAGTAGAGTTTGAATAGAATTGAGATAGTTAGAAAAGGGGCCTCCTCCCAAATCCCACGCTCCATTATTAATAAGTATAATACTCTGACGTTGATCCTTTGTTTTTGCCGCAACTCCTTTAATATTTGGGTCGAAATCTTTTCGCAGACATTTCGAAACTTTGGGCACACTTGTACACCAACTGAAGGTTAAATGATTTGTATCAAAGCTCCAATTGATACCCGTTTTATGATAAACAGAGGTATTTTCTATCAGTTGTTGAAAATAAGTCATCGTATAAACAAGATGGGAGTCTCCGTAGCAATTTATATTTCTTAGTTTTTCAAAACAAGTTCTGAGTTCTGAAGGCTTCAACATCTTTGAAATACACTTTGAGTGCAATCCCCATCTTAAACTTCCATCTTGTAGTATCCATCTCCCATATTTAGAAAGGAATCTTGGATCTCTCTCACACTGAACCTTTTGAATCATGTCAGTCTCAAATTTTTCATGCGACCTCTGATCGCCATTATCTAGTCCGCAATTTTGAATTCGAGCAAGAATCAACGAAAATGGTCGAATTGATTGTATATCGAGGAATGCCCCATAGGAAGTGTACACCAATGTGACAGTAATATTACTACATGGTGGCACAAAGGGACAGCACACATGATATATTCCATTGAAATTATCTTTCACATTACACATAAAACTATGAATACCCTGTACATGAATCCGAAAACTGCTACCTCCATAAGTTGATTTCCCCAAAAAAGTTTCGGAGATCGTTATATAAACATGATGACGAAGAGTATCAAATGTCCACTGTATGCTATACTTGTATTTCGTTGAATTATATAAACGGTGTTCAAAAATATTAGATATGAATTCAAGACACGTATCATTTAATCGTTGACTAATGTTTATGCCAGCAAGATTATACATGTGTTCCACTTGTGATAGAATCAGGTCATCAGAATTTGTGTTACAAATGTTTTGAAAGTCTAAGGCTGTATCTATCTGTTTACTACTTGTTTTATTTCCCCATGGATTGATTATTTGCTTGAAGTTTTCTTTCAGTATACTCTTCTCTGAAGTTTTAGGATCTTCTCCAAATGTAATGATCCCAGATGTTTTTCCTGCTCCAAAAGTTGTATCCACGCGCGTCTTCGGAGTTTGAGAGAATAATTCCATTTCTGATTTTATTTTATTTAAACTTTGCACGACTATGTTTTTCCATTTTATCTGAACAGCCGATGTGGAAGTTTGTTTCATTTCTTGAACTAGCCGAGGTGCGATGCTCAAAAAGTATAAAGTACATATGACGATAAAAGTGATGAGGATTTTGCCCCGACAGCCAGGCAGCCATTTTTGGTGCTTCATTTCAAGTTCTAAATGATAGGTTGTCATGCAGTTCACACTTTAATACACAGAATAACACATGGAAACCAAGGAGACAACGATTTTTGTATTTGATTGATCGGCACTGATGACCAGTTAATATCAAACATACGATGGTATATCAATTAATTTGATCAATTTGATCTAAAATTTATTTACATTAAATGTTGCATATGTACACTCATCTCCATAAGTTTGGCAACCTTTGCTCGCCCAATTGAACTACGTGTTAAAGCCTCTTTACCTTTGAATTTGTATTTACTTAACCTGCGATGAAAATACTTATACTATGAATGGAAACGTAATTTCCAATACCTCCAAATTTTCGCAATTTTTTCCCTCAATTACAATAGGTCGGAAATTGATGATAAATTTGATGAATTTTTAAAAATCGAATTTCCAATGTTTACCAGTGGGAATTGGTAGGTTTGCTGCAAGTCAAATGATAGAAGATCCATCCATCAGAGTCCTTGCAAAAATACAAATTGGATAGGCAATTGAATTTGCTTACTTTATTTAACAAAAAATGATACCTTTCTTCAGGTTAACAAAGTTATAGGTCTTTAAAGTCAAAATTGTTTTTCAAAAAACGCCTCACATTGAAATGAAACAGGAGGCGAAAAACGATGTTCAAAAATGACTTTGAAGCTCTGTAACTTTAGTCTTCATCAAGTAAACTAAACACTTAGTATACAAAACGCTAGACAATTCAATTTTCTATCAATTTATCATCAATTTTCGACCTACTGTAATTGAGGAAAAAATTGAGAAAATTTGGAGGTATTGGAAATAAAGTCAAATTACGTTTCCATCGATAGTATATTAAGTATTTTCACCGCAGGTTAAGTAAATAAAAATTCAAAGGTAAAGAGGCTTTAGCACACACAAACTAGAGACAATTTCCAACATTTTATATCTTTATTGTTTTTATTTTGCTTCAAAAACAACAAACACAAGCAACTGAACCAAGGGTGTCGTTAATGACGTCATAAAATCAAAATTAAGAATTTTATTTACTTATCACTTATTTGAACAATAACACTCCCTGATAGTACAGGGTAGGCTGTTAAAATTATGAGTCAAAGATATTATTAAAAACTTGTGCGGGTACTAATTATAACGGAGATACACTCATAGTAACATAGCCTAGATTAGAACGATACAAATTATTATTTCAATATTGAAATATTTCTTATTTTGAAATGTATCATAGAAATACCTGTTACATGTCAATAACATTTGCTTTTGTCCATGTTGAAATTGACATTTGACAACAGATGTGTGGTTCACTTGGCAGTAACTACAGTTGTTCAATAATATATTAATTAAAATATTGTGCGCCAAGTTCTGCTTGTGACCACCATTACATACCTCGTCCCCACAAGATCACGTATATATGTAAGAGGTACGGGGGTACGTTGGATTTGCTATTAACATTGTTCCACAACTACTTATTTTGACTGAACGTCAATGTAACAAAATGGATGAACTTCCTGGATACGAGATTTTTGTTTTCTCGATTTAAGCTTACGTAAGTCATGTTGCGAATTATCATTTGGCACAAAGATAGACAATATAGTCTAGCTTTAAGAAATGCACTCGGTTTGAATTTGATTTTTAAATAAAGCAGTTATTTGTGCCATCGCTTTCGTCACATTGACGAAGGTCGTCAAAGTAAGATACATTGGTAATATTACGGACTTTCGTCAATGTTACAAATGCGAGAGGTTAAATATTTGAATTGCAACTTCAATTCCAAATTGAAGAAACTTATAAAAAACTAAACTATATGTTTTTGCACTGTGTCATATTATAATCTGCAACTTGACTTAACGCTTATGTGTACAACGTATTTTTCATAACACTAATGGGCAGGGGGGGGGGATCAGATGGAGTTTCAAAAGTTGAAGAGGTACAATAAAAAGTAAGGTACCATAGTGTAGGTCATTCAAAACTCTCGAGGTGGGTGTATTAAAATCTCAAAAGTAGGTCAAATGGGGTCAAAAGTAGGTCAAAGTAACAAAGGGGTGAGTTTTTCGCGTATTTTTACTTTTATCTGTAAAAAACAACATATAATGCTTTTTAGCCAGAAACGGGTACTACATGTGATAGATGTATATAGTATCTACCTTTTTAGGACAAACAATCTTGGATAAATACCTTTCCTAGCTATATAGATCAAGAGAGGTAATTTGATCGAAAATTTGACGAAATGAAATATCGAAAAATGGAGGGATGGGAGACAAATCACGGCCCAGAACCTAAGATACTGAATAGATAATATATTTCTAAAAGTAACCTCATATGACATTTACCTGGCTATAATATAGTGTAATAGTTTAGGATATTGGTTGAGTATTAGCTGAGAAAATTTGTTTTTAGTACATCTCAGCTCGCGAAAGCACAATCTCGCGCATTGAAAAGTTGCAGCATTGACATATTTTTATGGCTTATTTTGCTTCTAATCATAGATGCCATGTGTTTCTACTGGTAAATAATCAAAATATTACATAGAATCACATGTTTGGCTCTATATTTACTGATTTATGAAAAATATTTGAAAATAGATAACGCCACCTGAGATGACAGAATTTTTTTTCTCCAAAAATAGAACTTCAAATACAATTTACTCTTAACCCACTTGTTTGTTATTTTTTCAAGTTTGTAAATTATATGCTTATTTAGATTGAAAAATGACTAAAAATAGCCACGAAACAAAAAAAATTGGGGAAGGGGAGACAAAAAATTATTTCTACAAAAACTTCTTTAGGTTAAAAGTAGGTTTAAATCGAGAAAACAAAAAATCCGTAACCAGGAAGTTCATTCAGAGTAGCCAATCGATCGCTTTGTTGCCAATTTACGTGACATGAACGTGTACAGTGGTCAATGACGTTCACAGTAAAGTAAACATATCCATTTAGATTTTTCAGGGATGTGTTTGCTATGATGCTCAAGATATGATCAATTTTTATGAGTATTTGGTATTGGATTTTCCTCGTTAGCTCACATGGTGAGCTATTGCAATCACTCACTTGTCCGACTGTCTGTCTGTCTGTCAAAAATTGGCCAGTTTTATAACCTCTGTCAATAGGATTCTAGTTTTAAGTTATTTTTGTTCGACATCAATATAGATTACCCCCCTATGACTCCTGGTTCAATAGCTCGCCTATTTTCAAAATGGCCGCCATTTTTTTCTCGCAAAAATCACCTTTGGACCATTCCCAGCAAACAGTGACGTCAATGTCACGTCACTCATATGTCGTATATAAGTTCACTGAAGACGTTGTATATTTCCGTTATATAAACGTCAAAGCAACGTAAAATTGTGACATTCAGCAAAACGTCGGTGGATGGTTAAAAAATGACGTTGTAGTAATGTGTTCGTAAAGTTCGTAATTTGTGCTGGTGTGAAAAACGTAACAGGGACGTTGAATTTTTACCAATTTGGTCCATTTGCGACGTAATATAAACGGTAACATTTAACGTTGTCGTGACGTGTTTTAAATGTGTAAAATATTTGTAAGTGTAGGAAACATTACAAAGACGTTGCAGTTCTCACCAAATTGGTTTATTTGCTACGTAATATAAACGGTAAAATTTGACGTTGTAGTAACGTGTTTTAAATGTGAAAGATATTTGTCAGTGTAGAAAACGTTACAAAGACGTTGTGTTCTCACCAAATTTGGTACATTTGCTACGTATTGCAAACGGTAAAATTTGACGTTGTCGTAACGTGTTTTAAAAGTGAAAGATATTTGTTAGTGTAGAAAACGTCACAAAGTCGTCGTGTTCTCACCAAATTTGTTTCATTTGCAACGTAGTGAAAACGGCTAATTGTAACGTTGTCTAAACATGGTTTGAATGTGAAAAATATTTGTTATTGTAAAACACGTTACAAAGACGTCATTTTCTCACCAAACTGGTACATTTGCTACGTTATGTAAACGGTAAAATTTAACGTTGTCGTAACGTGTTTTAAATGTGAAAGATATTTGCAAATTGGTTCATTTTCAACGTAGTGCAAACGGTTAATTTCAACGTTGTCGAAACGTGTTTTAAATGTAAAAAATATTCGTAAGTGCAGAAAACGTTACAAAGACGTTGTGTTCGAAACAGAAATTGGTTTAT